ATATATATATATATTTGTATATCGTCTGTACATATAACTATTAAACAAAGTTTCCATCGTTTCTAATTAGGATAAGCTTCCATAACATTGTTAACGCTGTCAAAAAAAGTGATATTTAATAAGATAAAATGATTGTGAAAAAGATTTTCAAGATGCAAACTAATATTATTTAGTTTAACTATGATAAATTCTAAACTATAGGAACAACATTGTATTTTTTTACACACAAGAATCAATAAAAATATTGTAATTAATGCAATAAATTTATTTTATCAAAATTTTCTACTATAATATTTTTTACTATAGTATTTTCTACTATAATATTTATAATCACCTTTTTTAAACAGATTATTATTCAGAATAGTATATTTTGCAAAGAAAAAAAATTAGTACGTATAATTATTTTTGATAAATTAAATTATAATGTATAAATTTTTCATTTTGATGACTATTTTATATATTGAAATAAACATCCAATGAAAGATGATCACTTATGATTAGAAATATTCTTTCGAAACGCGAATAATGCGATACATAAATTCTGAAAACGAGTACAATATGAAATAATCTTCTTTTTTGCAGAAATTTTTACGGATCGTTTTCTTATATCTCATCTTAATAATAATTTGTATTTGTATACACGAATAGTCAAATAATATCAATAATGAGCGATTTATATCGTTCAGGCAATAATGCAATAATCGCATTCTTCGGGATACATGTTTGATTATTTTTAATGATGAATTACGTTCATAAAATTTTTCTATTTATGAACGTTCCTCTGGTGGCGTACTAGATAATACTTGCGCCGAAATTTTGTACAACAAATCGAGCAACTGTATTTTGGCAACACGCCGCATACTTCACGTAGATGTCTCGACAAAGAATCCGGCCATTGATAACGTTTGCCACATTTGTAACATGTAAATGGTTGATCCTTGTTAACACGGCTTTTTCTCTTTTTGGCTCCTGAAACAGATCGTAAAAAGGTCTAAGTGAGATAAATTTTATTGATGATTCCTTTTAATTTTTGCATTTGATTTACATCGCAATAGATAATGGCAGTTTACTGTATCGTCATCGTTTTGAATGAGACGATTCTTTTTGCCTACAGTTCGATTGCCTACATGTACTATTTTCTGTTTTAAAAATTAATAAACAAATCTTCTGTTTTAAAATCAATTTTCTGCTTTAAAAGACAAAATCTCTGTTTTAAAAATATAAATTATTTTCTTACTTAACCTAATCTTAATTTTATATTTGTGCGCAAATGTGCTCGTAGGCAATCGATTTATAGGCAAATGGGATCTTCTAAAAATGATAAATATGATAAAAAAACGTTAATTTTTGCTCATATTACTCGATTTATCTAAAAAACCTGACGTGATGAACATCTTTTCCTGACGGATTTGAATTCAACGGATTTTGAATTAATTATTATAAAATTATTAAATGACCCTGCTTGTCGCAGATTTTCTTGCTGGACTATGTAATTTGAAACTAGTTCGATTGTTTTTTCGACATTAGAACAAACTCTTGATCTGAAATAATAAAAGATTCGAAATAACAAAAAAATGAAAACAACTCTAGTTTGAATAATTTAATTTAAAATTTAATTTAAAAAGTTAAGAAATTTAATTAACAAAAATTAATTGTATTTTTATACATTTATATATTATATATTTTTTAACAAAAATTAGAAAGAAGGCTTTTAATGATACTTTTTTGACAAATGTATTTTTTTAAATTACATCATTATTTAAAAAAAAATCAAAATTTTAAACAATTCGTTTCAAAATTATATTTTGTAAATGCAAGCTTTCAACTTTAGTGTTTTAACTTTAAATTGAGTTTTCTCATAGTTAAAAAAGAATTTCCTGTAATACCAAAATAAAAGTCAGTAAAGGACAATATTGGAAAATAAAGGACAAAATTGAGTTTTGAAGAAACAGATAAATCTAAAGAATAGTTACCTAAAATAAAGAACTTTCTTTACAATAAAAGATATATATAGTCACAAATACTATTAGAACGCGAATAGTTAAACGAAAAACTAAAATAATGTAATAATTTAATACGGAAGATTTTCAATAATACAATAGTATATTTATAGTTCTTAGAATGTTATAAAACACTGTGCAAATATTAATGAATATATA